ACATTTCAGTAGTGAAAATAGCATTAGGGTTATTATATAGGGTTAAACATTTCAGTAGTGAAAATAGCATTAGGGTTATTATATAGGGTTAAACATTTCAGTATTCATTTCTTTTTTTTTTAAAGCAAAATAAGTAAATGCAAATAAAAAGTGACTTGTCACACAACATGATGAAGAATTAAAAATGCATACGAGACCCAGTAAAAAAATAAAATGTGAGGAAGAATATATATAGAAATAGCAATAGCACTTAGACTTATATACCACTTTATAGTGCTTTACAGCCCTCTCTAAATGTTTTTTTTAGAGTCAGCATATTGCCACCAAAATCTGGGTCCTCAAGGCTGAGTCAACCTTGAGCCTGGTGGGATTTGAACTGTAAGAATTATTCCAGACAAAGTCTTAATAAAAAAAGTTTATATCACAAAGAATGCAAGTAGCCAATTTAGTGAGTGATTAAAATATCAAAGTAGAAATCGAGAGGCAGCAAGTTCTAGTCCTGCCTTCGGCATAAAGCCAGCTAGATGACTTTGGGCCAGTCACACTCTCCCAGCTTTGGGAAGAAGGCAGTGATAAGCCATTTTTGAAATATTGCCAGAAAAATGCAGGAACCTGTCCAGATAGTCACTAAGAATCAACACTCATTGATAGGCATCCACCCCTCTCTCCAACAAAGCCTCCTTTTGGAATGGATTGTCAAAATAGATTTCCTCTAAACCCAATAATCTGCATAATTTAATTTGGATTCAGAGCCATATCAAATTTTGTAGGATATTTAAGATCAGGTTGGGGGGAAACCATCTCCAAAATTGAGTGAAGGATGGGCAGGATTAAATTAATACTATTTTCCCTCCCTTCTCCAATCTTAATTATTTTAATTGAATTCTTTTCAAATTTTCCAGTATAGGTATAAACATACAGTTTCCAAGCAAAGAAGTTTCTGTCCCACTACCATTGGCTTTAAATCTAATTTTCCAGAGATTAAGGGAACTAGTCTGGCCTAGTGATTAAATCATCTTGTTTGCCCTTCAGTTACCCTCCCTAAGCTGTAGGTAACAATGGTAAATCCCTCTGAAAATGTTGCTAAGAAAATTACATGGACTTTTTCATGTAGTTACCTGAAGTCAGCCACAAAAAATAAAAGAAATAAAGGCTTATTTTTTATCCATCTAACTGCTTCTACAATCAACATCTCCACCATTTGGAAACAGTAGCCAATATTGGCCAAAGAAGAAGGTGGAAAAAATGCAGTAATGGTAGGGAACGTATGCTGAAGAACAATCATTATGAAGCTAATCCAGATGGCCTTTGGCTTAACTTTATAAGCCAGTTTATAAGCGAACAATAAAATTCTACACATACAGTGAAGTCATGAAAGCATTCCTTTCAGATATATAAGTTCTAGTTCCCTTCTAGAGATAACTAGGAAATCAACAACTTACAAATTTCTTCATGTAAGCAGGACTGAATTTGTTAAAGGCTATTTTTTCAGATGTACAATCTTGGGAAGGATTAAGAGTAATAATGGCCACTTAAATCTTGTGAAAATAGCCTTTAAAACATGCTAAAATAGGAAAAGGATCAATGCTGCTTTTTCTGACCATCACTGGCAACAACAAGGTATGATGTAGTCCCCATTTCTTGTTGAAAAAAGAAAGCCTAGCCCTCTTGTAAAATCTGCCCACTACTCAAATTAATGTAATTATAGAAAATTCAACTTTTAAAAGATTCTCCAACTTGATCAGGTGCAAAATTTTCCCACTGACACTTGGCTACTAAAATATTACACCAGCATACCTGTGGATTCACATCCAAGATACATGTTCTTCCAGTCTGAACCACTTCAATGATAGAATCTATTTTGGTACCATAAAGATTTCCTTCATATTCCCCATGTTCTAAATATCTTCCTGCTTTAATATCTGCCTCCATTTCACTTCGTGACACAAACCGGTATGCTTGTCCATCTTTCTCATCATCCCTCGGTTTCCGTGATGTAACTAAATAAATAAATTGACATATGAGCAAAGCAATAATATACAAAAAAATATAGAAGGTATGCTTTTATGTCTTTCTTTTTACAGAAAGATATGAAGATCCGAATACAGTAGATTTCCTGTACTAGAAGAAAGGCTCTTCAGTCCAAGAACAGTTTCCTGTTATGGATCATAAAATAATCCCTATGTTTCAGGAAATAGCAATAGTAATAGGACTTAGGCTTATATATTGCTTTACAGCTCTCTCTAGGCGGTTTACAGAGTCAGCATATTTCCCCCAACAATCTGGGTTCTCTCTTTACCAACCTCAGAAGGATGGAAGGCTGAGTCAACCTTGGTGACACCCAAACTTCAGGCAGCTGGCAGTCAGCAGAAATAGCCTGCAGCATTCTAACCATTGTACCACCACGGCTCATAACATTTCAACTTGAGGTATAAACATGAGAGAAGGCCTGGGGGCTGCAGAGATCACATGAAAGCTCCCCAAATTAGGCTTTTAGTCTGCAGAGCTATTTTAATTTGATTTTTTGCTTCTCCCATCCGCATTTGAAAAAATTTAGTATTTTACCAACTATTTATAATTAAAATGTTTAAATGAACTTCCATACAATAGTTTAAATTCCAATCTGTATAATTCCTTATATAATGCATCCCAAAGTGTGCTCGGAAGTACTTATAATTAGGCTTATTCCCAGGTGAAGATGCTTTGAAGCACAACTGCCTAATTGTTTGCTGATACTATTTTACTGCCAGCTATGTAAAACATGCCAATATTAGAAAAAATGAACTAGTCACCCAATTTCAAATGCATTTATTCAAAGTATTTTAACTTGTACAGGTAATCCTCGAGTTACGAATATAATGGAGCCTGCAAATTACATTTGAAAACTTTCTGCTTTCACCCATGCATTCACTAATTGAATGTGCGGGTCGTTAAGTGAACAAGGTATCTCAGGGTGGGGAAGGCCATGGTGATGGAAAAAACCATTCAAGGCCTCCCCTGACCCACTGAGATACCTCATGCACCCCACAATTGCTTCCCTCCCGCTCATCCTACTGTGCTGGACTCACTTACCTTGCAAAGTTCTGTCTTCTCTGTGCTGTACTTTGTGTGCAGAATGATTTCGCTTCCAGCACCCAATCAGTTTGCAAATGCTTTTCATGCATCAAGAATGAAATGTTCTGGGGGCTGTGATCTCGCGCGACTTCAGGCATCTATTCTCTGCAAAAGCGGATGGGTGTCTGAAGTCATGTGACATCACAGCCCCCAGAATCTTTCATTGTCAGTGTGAAAAGCATTTGCAAACAACTGAAAACGAAATTGTCTCACTCTCAAAGAAACTGTGGCAGAATGGAGACAGATCTTCACAAGGTAAGTGAGTATGGCACAGCAGGATGAGGAAAAACATTTGTGGGGAGCTGGAGAGGGGAATAGGCAGGATAAATGTTGCAGTGCAATCGTTTGTAAGTGAATGATCACTGTGGTGCTGCAACATTAATTTCCGAACTGTGTTGTAAATACTTGGGAGGGTTATCATGTAACTTTGAATGGTCACCAAGTAAACTGTCATACCTCAAGGATTACCTGTAGTTTCCAACCAATACAATCCTGAGCTTTCTTTTGCCAAGTGAGCCAGGAATACTTGCTGATATTGTCGCATATTGGTTGGAAACATGCTGAAGAGCCCTTCATCTGCAGTGGATAGAGAATGGCTAAAATGATGATAGTGACAATTTTACCTTGTACTTACACTACCTCATTTCATAACATCTATCTGAGATTAAGATTATCAGGGAATCAAAGAAATAAGCTTAAAATGTAAAATAAGCAAACAAACAAGAGTGTTATGAAAACTTACATGGGACTGTGGTTCCAAATTTTGTGGGATTCAGTACAATAAATCTGTTTTTCAAACTTCTTCGGCCAACTCCTTGGGCTCCTATTAAGACCAGTGTTTTTCTTTGAAATGGAGGCATTTTTGCTACTTCCTCATATATCTGAATTTCATGTCGATCAAATTCTAGATGCAACAGAACATGTTAAAATCAAAGCAATGTGAACATTATATAAATTTCACAACTCTATGGATTGCAATCTGCCAATCAGCCATGAAGTTCATTGGTTAACTTTATGACAGTTATTCTCAACCCAATCAATTTGTGATTTCTTGAATCTCAGGTGGGAGGTTGTGTAAAGGGTTGGGTCAGCCACTGGGAATGAGAGCCTCAGAGACCCCTATTAAGTGACACTATTTAAGAAAAGGGATCTGTAGTGCACTTACCTTATTTAGTAGGAAGGACAGATTACTTCGAGGACAGGCAGGTAACCTACCCATGTAAGGCTTTCAGAGTGATATCCATTTTTATTATTTCCAGCATTGAAGATAGAATACGTATGTATGTATGTATGTATGTATGTATGTATGTATGTATGTATGTATGTATTTGTTTTCAGCAGGGGGGCAGTATCCAATCTGGCCACTGAAAGTTGTGACAGAAAGCCCTCTGCCAAAAGTTAATAGGACTGGGACATTACATTTGATTTAATGTAAATTTACACCTAGTTAAAATTAATTACACATTACATGCTAATATTAGACAAATTACAAAGTATGAATTGATAATTTTGGGAAAGCACTGGGTGAAAAGTCATATGGCCTGGGCCTTCAGATTCTACCTCTGATTTCATACAATAGTTTTCAAATGATGAATATAATATGAATATAGATGGGTCAACAGAGTAACATTGCTAATTATATGAATGATGTAATATACAAAAACTGCAGCTTGAAATTTTTTCTTCCTGTAGTAGGATTTCTATTACTGCATGGCTATTTAATTTTACTTTTTAAAAACAGTGCTGTACAGGAGCCCTTTGTTCCCAAATACTTCCGGGAAAGTTAGATATAATCAGGAACATAGGGCTCCTAAATTATTTAATACAATAGTAAAAAAAAATCATTAATGTGCCCCATTTCACTTCAGTATTAAATTGCTGGACATGATAAGCTAAATTCAAGGATAATTTGTATTCAAGGATAATTCAAGGATAATTTGTATTATAAAATAAATTAGCAAAACAGTGTAAATATACATTTTTACACCGTGACAAGGGATATTAAATTGTTTACATGTAGGAAAACTCAGAAAAAAATCAGTTTCATTTGGAATTACTTCCTGGATTTGTATGTACAGCCATTGGAGATACAGATAGTCCTTGATACATGACAATTATTAGTTTTTGTATGGTCAGCATGTGAACACACTCAATTTTACTATCTATTTTTTGCTGAGTTATTAAGCTAAATTAATATAAATAACTTTCTAAATGTTCTTGCCAAGTTATTTTTCTAGTATGTAATGCTGAAATTCACAAACCTGCATTTCTAGTTGTGAGATACATCATTTTTTTCTTCCTTTTACTATTTATTGTCCCACAGAAAGGACCTAAAAACAAATGAGATATTTTTGAAATTACAATTTGTTAGATTAGTTTGGAACGAAGTCTTAATGTACTCCATTAAAAGCCGTATCACGCTAACTGCTTGCAACTGCTAAATTTGTTTATATAGCTATAATAACTTATTTAGATTTATGGTTATAATGCTCCCTATTTAATTTTAACTAAGTACCAGCAGATGGCAGAAAAGATTCACAATTTAGAAAGAAAGCAAATTATTTTGATCATTAATTTGTAATTATGGACAATGATGTACTACTCCATTATTCATAATACTTGAAACTTGAAGAATGAACATAATAAAAATGATATTTTTGTGTTCCTTACTTGAATTTTCCCAGTCCCGTCTAACAAATGCTTTCCTCTTTTCTTCTAAGAACTGGCTAGGAATAAGACCTGCACTTCCTCCTTCTTTGACATGACTGGCCTGAAATAAAATTAAGTATGTAACAAAATTGATTTTTACATTATAAGTTGTAATGTTGTCAAAAGTAATTTAGTGTTCAGATATGTTCATATAAACAAGTTGGATGCAAAGCATACTAGTAGACAGGTATCTGGAACATAAAGTGCAAGTATAAGAAAAGTTGAACTGTTCTAAAAAAATTTACCCCCCTTTCAACACCCAAAACCTATTTTTCAGTAAATATTCTAAGAGGAGTCCTAAAAAAGTACATGTTACAAAATGCATTAAAAAATCCCATTCCTCCCCTTTATTTTTATAAAATCAGTTGAATGAAAAGATATGCACTTTAATTCAGGATTTCTTACATGTACCAAAGACTTGTACATGGTCTTTAGATACCAAGGTGCACACACAGCAAGCCAAAATGACACTAAAATGTCATAATACATCTTCTGTCATTTGAGCCCTACTTTATGGCCATCTATGCTTAAAAATAAGATTACATAATGCAGATCATCTGACTAACATAAGAACATTTAATTTGTAAAAACCAATGATATACTGATTTACCTTGATTATATCTAACAATGTAAGCAGAAATAGAATTAAAGTAACGGTATCCTCTTTCCAAATGCTTAGATGAATTCTATTCAAATTTTCTCTTCCATTTGTATTCCTTCTGAAATATCAAGACTGATAATCCCCCTCATAGCAACAACCCAAAGCTAGCTGTATTAGAATGCACTGAACAATTTTTTTTAAAAAAATCTGTGTCTGCATAAATAATCCAGCCACTCTTCCTATAACAGATGCTAGAGGACAGCCAAGAACAGATTCATATGCATTAACAATTTTCTGTCACAGAACTACGTTAATGAGAACTTTTCCTTCTTTAAATAAGCCTGTCTGATGCACCGGTATTTTTTTCTATCTCTCACACCAACACACCCAAGACCCATATTTTGGCATTTTATGCATATATATTCATATATGCAAAAAAGAAGCCCCTCCCAAAAGCATGGATGGTTTTTTTATTCATAAGTCTCATAAAGGCTACTAATATCCTTGTAGGCTACACTTCTGTGACAATTGTTAAGTATACTGCAGTACATCTGTATGCTGATTTGTATAATTTGGCAAATTGTATAATTTGGTTATTCTAACTGAGCACAACATTGCATATTATCTCAAGAGAAGCCTGATATCACTTCATATTTTTACAGACAGAATTATATAATTTGACCATCTAGAAGGGATAGCCTAAGTATCAACTCCACTTTCATGAAAGTTCTGAATTTCTGTCTTGTGTCCTCCTTCCTTCCTCCAAGTCCCTGCAGTTTTCTCAGAAAGCTTTCTCAGAAGTGGTTTGCATTGCTTTTTTCCTATGGTTGAGAATAAGTGACTGGCCCAAGATCACCTAGCTGACTTTGTTCTTAGGATATAACTAGAACTGATTTCTTAACCACTGCACCAAACTAGCTCTCTTGCTTGAAATTATATTCAACAGTAATTCCTCATAGGATCCAAAGTAGCATTAAAAAAACAAATGTGGTATGTATTTAAGCAGAACACTGGATTAATGAATTGAAAATTTGTATTAAATTTAATGGTCTCTAACCTGCCACCAGTTTGGGTCTTCTCGATTAACAATCTGAAGAATTTCTCCCTTGGAAAATTTAAGACCAGCTTCTTTGCATGGAATGAGATTATCATTGAATGGATTATAATCAAAGTGACACTTCACAAATACCTGGAACATAATTTTAAAAATAGCTTAAGAACAACAATTCAAACAGTCTTACAAATGCTTAGCAAGTTTGTGAGTTGCTTAAGAGTTTAGTCTTTTTTTTTTGTTTCAGCAAAATGAAAGGTCTAGAGGACAATTCTGAATGACAATTAAGTTTCTGATAAAAGATTCAAGCTGTAAAAATCCCTTGAAATGAATTACTACAGTTATCATGTGATCATTTATATTCTTATAATTTGTGTTTTAGTGATCCCAATTCTTTTTAGATGTCTTTATTCTCAGAATGCAGTCAAGTGAGCTGAAGTGAAAGCAATATTTTAATTAAGAGTTCCAAGATTCAACTTGCATAGAAGATTCTGCTATCTGCAACAGAAGAAAACTTTGTCCCAATGCAACAGACTGAAAGTTTACGATTAATGTCATAACAAAGTGACTTGCCTTTACATTAAATAATCATTTCTATAATTACTAAAGCAATGAAACAATTTTAAAGATATTTTGCACAGTTTAATGTTTGTTCAAAGTTAATTTGTTTTATTCCACATCTTACAGTCAGTTCTTAGGATTGTTTTTATTTCATGAAGTGTGTTGCGCTGTCTTTTATAAACAGTCTTTTAAACAAAGCATAACTAAAAAGCAGTGAATATATAGATGCTACAGAAAGCTCCAATACATAACTTCTGTTACAAAGTAACATTGTCCAAATACTGCATCAAAACATTTTAGGTTTATTCAGCAAATTATAGTTCTGAAAAGACAAAATTACTTTTTACATAGTGAGATTGAACTAGGCTACGACTCAATCAGTCACAAAGTATTGGCTTTCAAAAAAATGTTATTATTGCTTAAACATGAATATTTTTCTACAATAAGATTTTAAAATAAAGCTGATATCTGAGATATAAAGGAAAGGAAAGCTGATATCTGAGATAGAAAGGAAACATAATAATAAAATATTGTACTAAAAGGCCAGAAACTTAGGATACAACTAAACATTGCAAACTGCAACAAGATTATACAAAATTATATAACAATATCAGAATGTTTAATACATGAGCTATAATTATGGAAGACTGCAATAGTAGCTGCCTCATTTTCACTGCTGCTGCACAATATTTTGCTACCATTTGAATAATGGAAGATGTAGCATCTGAAAATAACATTAAAAATGCTAATTCAGCCAGATATTGTTGAAGAAAAGATAGAATATATTGGATACACCTGTAAATGTCACAGCAAAATAACATATGCTGGCATAACATATGCTTCAACATCCCTTGTTCTGTAATGGCAGACCTGTTTCTCTAATGGGTCTTAAGAGTATACTCCTTGTAAAAATGCCAAAGAGAGTATATTATATAACTAGCTCAGTAACAACCTTCCCATAATTTGGGAAATGTACTAGGGCAGATTAATCACTCCCCCGGCAAGCCTATGACAACAGTATTTGTCTCTGAATTTCAATATGCTTCTATAGGAGCATATTTGCCGTATGCCAATATCTTCTCCCATTCTCCCAAGAAGTTTACTCAAATTTAGTGGGAAGTTTTCAGCTGCTATTAATGGGTAAGGTCCCAAAGAAAACAAGTGGAATTAAGTAATAATTTAGCCTTAATCTCAAATTTGAGGCATTCAAACTTCTAACCTAAGGAAGGCACTGACAACTTATCCTGGGTGTAGTGAGTATAGTCCTTAAACACTTAGTATGGGCTATCTCAAGGATATTTTTCTCAGCCATAGAGCTCCAAGTGGGCATTTTTGCTTGAAAAATTTTCAAAGCAGCTCAAACTAAGCCATCTCCCTTAATGAAGAAAAATCATATTATGGCTGTTATAATCTTCAAATCATTCAACAGATATAATCATGATGTGCCATCCTATTTCCCTTCGAATAGAAAACTACTGCCAGATGTTTAAAAATGCAGGCAGTCTCTGAGCTGAGAACTCCCAACTAACAGATAATTCACACTTATTAATAAATTTCCATAAACTCTATTATATGAAAAAAAATCCTTAAATACAAGAGTTCATAATAAATGTCTATACTACTTGTAATATTCATGAAGACACTGCACAGCTTCAGAACATCTCTGCCATTTTATATATTCAAATCTGACTAAAGGATGATAAATAAGAACCCTATGCACCTGACAACCTAAAAAATCAACTTAAGGACAGACTTGGGAACAGATCTTTTTCATAATCCAGAGACTGGCTATATGAGCTTTTCTAAAGTTTCCCTTTATATTTCATCTCATAGACAGAATTATCCTTCTATGGTCCAATAGAAAATAAGGACTGCATTATCTGCATTTAGCAGTATTGATATTTGAGGCCTGCAAGTTTAAGGGCATGGCTATTTGATTTGTTCACAATTTCAACCACAGAATTGATGAACTGATTAAACAGGGTAATGGCTAAAATATGTCTCTGATGCAAACCATGCTGCATCCATATTTCATTAGAGAGTAGCTCTAAAAGCATACAGATACAACATCAACTGGAAGAACTGACTGTCCATGATGTGTTGAGCTTATCCCGTTAAATCTTCCTACTATGGAATCAAAAGTGACTAAAGTCCAAATATTATGGATATAAGGATAATTTAAATTATTCATATATTTCTGAATAAAGCGCCATTTACCAGAATATGGACAACAGTTCATTATCCATCCCTAAAGTCACCCCATTTATCCCTTAAGATTCCTTCTAGAATCTGTCCATGACTGATGTTCATTGTTTAAATTCCAATTGGTTTACAATTAGCTGAATCCTCCCACTTACCCTTCTTATAGATAAGGACAATTAATGCTACCCCAAAAATCTTAGAAATGTGTCTGATTTGGTACACACACACACACACACACACACACACACACACACGACAGTAAAGCCACTGACCATTTGTAGTTATATTTGATCACCTCAGGCAAAATGCAGTTATTGCCTGAGATTCATTTAACCACTTATCCAAGTGATAGGATGTTCTTTCCAGACATTAAATTCTAAGCCAAGAATTTAAAGAAGAAAACTAGTAAAAATAAGAAGTGTAGTGCATGTGCCATTTGTACATAGGGCCAGCAAGAAATAAAAAACAATAAAATTTAATGTATAATTTTATTCTCAAGGAATTGACCCAACATCCTGTGATTTTAAGAATTTACTAAAATTATTGCATTAATTTTGTTGCTCAGAAATTAACATCCATTTTCATCTTCAATAGAGAGCCAGCTGGCCTAGAAACTAGGTGACTGTAGAGTTCTAGAACTAACTTTGTGCTAGTCTTAGCTCAACCCACATCACAGGGGGGTATTGTAGGGAAAATAGGTAGGAACATTAGATTTAGCTGTCTTGAGTTGGCTAAAATATGTTAAAAAGGGAATACAAATCTAATAATAATAATAGATAGCAACATGTATATTTTCATATACTTGAGCTGTAGTAAGCTGCAGCTTTATAATGCTTGCATTCTGAATGAAATTCCTGTAATTATATGTAACTATAGTGCATCTACATATAAATTTTAAGCGGCTCTTAGCAAAATATTAACTGCAGACAGCTGTCACTTTTAAATATGACTATAGCTAGATTAATTAACATATTTGATTAGACCTAGGAAAGAAAACAAAGTAACATTCACTATATAGCTTCAAATCAAGGATAGTACTACTAACCTGTTGGGGAACAATATTATCTTTGTAGCTAGGAAGAATCTTCAGAGTGACACTACCACTAATACTCTTCAGGAGTTCTTGCAATTCTTTTGGATTGCTTCCAACTTCATGACCATTAACCTCTTTAATGATATCACCTACATGTAGGAGACCTTGTCGGTCTATCATTCCTCCATGAAGGATTCTTGCAATCACCAGGTCATTATTCTCCACCCTAAATGTCACACCCTAAATGAACATTTGAAGGGCATCAGAGTTTATCTCTGAAACATTTATCCCCATTTCAGAACTAGAATCTTAACACTGTGATTTCTTATTAGTTGACATCACATAAGAGTACACTGTACACTGTTATGATCCTGAAATCCAAAAGCAAGAGGATTTCATATAAGAAATTGATTTACAAACATGGATTTCTCACACTTTCAATTTACTGAAGACAATTATTCTAATCTTTATCTAACTTATTAGCATAAATTTATTAATTATTGTATTTACTAGTTGAAGAACATGAAAACAAGACTTTAGCATTTCTTCTCCCTGGAGCATATTAGTATTTTCAATGAAATTTGTTGTTCCTTCTTTCATATACACCCACACACTTAGAAGCTTGCAGTCCCACAAAAGCACTGGACTGCGTCAATATCTTAATGCCTCAAAAACAGATCTTTAAAGAATTATGCCTCTCCCACCATACTTTTATATTTTAGTTTCTATTCAAGAAGCATTTTACCATCTTATAACTTTAATTAAACTTTAACAACAGAGACTGATTATGCAAGTCTGTCAGATACATTTCATATTTAAGGGAGCGGGAGTTATACTTACCAGAGGCTCCCCTGCTCTTTTATGAATGCCAAGTATACGAATAGCATCTACTGGTACTATCTGATTGTTCACCGAAGCATTATTTATTTCTGGACTAGAGGGAGGAGATTCATAACACTTTGATGCCACAATATCATGAGCTTCTAAGAGTGACTGTAAATAGAGAATGGATGAGATGATACATTTAATACCTATTTTTTTCAGCTATAATTTGCCTAGAGTTACACAGAATAATTTGAATGCCATTCCTTGGCAATTCAGAATGGTTCTACAATATTCTACAATATTAATAAGGCAACTCTCAGTTTTGTAAATAGCAACTACAAAATATGATAAACTCTACTCATCATACAGACAACTTTTGTATGGGTTGCTCATTCTAGTATGTTTTCTTCAGCTCAAATCAACAGATGTGATCCTGCTCAGAAAAAAATTGTTATGCTCTCATCTGAAGTAAATTAAATAGAAATGGTAACTGAAGTTATTAATCAAGGCCAAACACATCTGAAGTTATATCAACTTGTCTAACATTAACACAATGGTTTTTAGATCTGAACCATAAAGTCTTGTCTTTAAAGCAAAACCTATTTTTATATGTTTTATAGCAATTGAACAAAAATATATTTAATATAAATATAATTTATATTTTTAATATTAAGACTAGAAAATTTAATTACCAGAAAGTGAGGTTCCTTTAGTATACCAACCAATTCAGCAATATTTTCATCTTTATTTATTAATGGACTGATGTCTTCAAGAATCTCATTGACTAGCTCCAGATTGTTATCACTCACAGCCTCAAGTTTAGAATCCTCTAATCGTTCATGAGCCTATGAAAATTATAGAATAAGACATACTAACAAGAAAACGTTGTTTAATTTACCATTGATTTTACAATACTTACTAGGTGTTTTGATAACAACTCAGGTAGACCAATTGCACTTTCTGCAAATTGTTATTTCATGCAGTGAAATAGGATTAGGATTTAGGATTTTTATCTTTGCTATAGGACCCTTAAAAAAAATAGCATTTCCGTTAGATAAAGCATGAAAATATACTTGTCTGAATAGTTGTTTTACTCCTGGTAATTGAAATAAGATAATGAGGTTAATACACAGCCTTTTGTTAATAGTAAGGCAAATTTATGCTTTAGAATCTGGTATAGATTCTCACCACAGGTGATGTTTATGTTATAAAGACTAAATATCTTACAAAATAAAATGTTACATTAAAATATGTATATCACCATGAAATGTTAGTAAACTAGAATCATTATTATTTTATATCTGCTTCCTTATGGTGTCTACTTTTATCATAGAAGTCTGGTTTTTTGCTTTAAAAATGCATAGGCTCCTAAGCCCTGAACATTACTTGATAAGGCTAAAAACTTAATGCAAGGTAAATGAGACTGAGGTAAGTATAAATCACACATACTGTATCCAAATTAGCAAAAGCAAAAGGAATTTTTATCCAAAAATTTATCTTCAGCTGGATTGTAACTGAGAATAAAGATGGAACTCAAAAAATTAACAGTATCATGCAAAAGTTCATTTATTTCAGTAATGCAACTTAAAAGATGAAACTAATATATGAGATAGACTCATTAAATGCAAAGCAAGATAGTTCAAGCCTTGATGTGTCATAATTGCAATGATTGTGTCTTACAGCTCATGAAAACCCCAAATCCACAATCTCAGAAAATTAGAATATTACATGCAATCAGTAAAACAAGGATTGTACATAGAACAATATTGGACCTCTGACAAGCATAAGCATGCATATGTACTCAGTACTTGGTTTGGGCCCCTTTTACAGCAATTACTGCCTCAATGCGGTGTCATGGAAGCTATCAGCCTGTGGCACTGCTGAGGTGGTATGAAAGACCAGGATGCTTCAATAGCGGCCTTCAGCTCTTCTGCATTGTTCTGTCTCATGTCTCTCATCTTTCTCTTGGCAATGCCTCATAGATTTTCTATGGGTTCAGGTCAGGTGAGTTTGCTGAGGTCATCCCTGCTGCTTGTGCACCTCTTTCTTCCACACTTTTCCTTTCCACATAACTTTCTATTAATGTGCTTTGATACAGCACTTTGGGAACATCCAACTTCTTTTGCAATTACCTTTGAGGCTTTCCCTCCTTATGGAGGGTGTCAATGATGGTTTTCTGCACAACTGTCAGCAGGTCAGCAGTCTTTCCCATGATTGTGATTCCTACTGAACCAGACTGAGAAACCATTTAAAGGCTCAGGAACCCTTTGCAGGTGTCATGGCTTAATTAGCTGATTAGAGTGGGAAATTTTGCGCCTAGAATATTGAATCTTTACACAATATTCTAATTTTCTGAGATTGTGGATTTGGGATTTCCCAATTATGACACATCATGCTTGAACTACCTTGCTTTGCATGTAATGAGTCTATCTCATATATTAGTTTCATCTTTTAAGTTGCATTACTGAAATAAATGAACTTTTGCATGATATTCTAATTTTTCGAGTTTCAGCTGTACAGTAATGAATATCCACATTTATCTTTTTCCGTCAGATATCTAGAAAGGTGGGGGCAACCGAAATTCAAATCATCCTTTCATGAGGTCAGAGTAGACAGCTCTTGACTTACAAATACAATTAGGAACAAAATTCACTATGCAGTCATTAAGTGAGTCATGCCCAATTTTATGACCTTTTTTGCTGCATTATTAACTTGTTAAGTATAGCTTCCCCACTGACTTTGCTTGTTGGAGCCAGCTAGGAAGGATACAATTGGCAGGCTCATGATCTCAGGATGCTGCAATGAATTAAAAGGCATGCTATTTGCCAAGTACCTAAATTTGGATTATGTGGCTGTGAGGACATTGTGGCAGGTGTAAATGTGAGGGCTGATTGTAAGTCACTTCTTTCAGCTGCACTGTAACTTTTAGTGTTTGTTAAATCAGGGGTGTCAAACTCATGTTGTCACAGTGGCGCCATGTAACGTATCAGGACTTCCCCCCCCTTTGCTAAACTGGGGGTGGGCGGGGCCAGCACATGACTCATCTGGCCCGTGGCCCGCAAGTTTGACATCCCTGTGTTAAATGAACGGTTATAAGTCAAAGATTATTTAAATAATAATTCCCTTTTGGAGAAGAAACTGCCATTTATCTATTAAATGTATATAGGTAGTCTTCAACTTACAACAGTTCACTTAATGACTATTTAAAGTTACAATGGCACTGGTGGTTGCAGTGTCCCCGGGTCATGTGATCACCTTTTGCAACCTTCAGACAAGCAAAGTCAATGGAGAAACTAGATTCATTTAACAACTGTGTCACTAATTTAACAACTGCTATGATTCATTTGACAAAATTGGCAAGAAAAGTAATAAAATGGGGCAAAACTCAAATTTCTTACTTAGCAACATAAATTTTGGGCTTAGTTGTGGTCATATGTTGAGTACTGAAAAAATACAATATTGAAGCTTCAAATTATAACTCACTATGCTCTATATACAGCTACCCTTTTTTCACATGCTAATTTTGAGCTGACAAATTAATGAATTTAATTAATGAATTTTTACTGAAATCTAAAAGATGAAGTTAAAAACAGTAGTGGCGCAGTGGTTAGAATGCAGGCTACCTCTGCTGGCTGCGAGCAGTTTGGCAGTTCGATTCTCACTAGCTCATGGCTGACTCAGCCTTCCATCCTTTTAAGGTTAGTAAAATGAGGACCCAGATTGTTGGGGGCAATAGGATGTAAACTGCTTAGAGAAGGCTGTAAAGAGCTATGGAATGGTATATAAGTCTAAATGCTATTGCTATTAAGGATGTTTAATGGTTGCTAAAGAATTACCAGAGCAATTAAAATAATTATGTTTGGAGTGCCCACATCTGATCCACTATGATCAGAAGAACATATTCCCAGTCTTCATACCCACTTGCGTATCAGCTCATATTACCTCAGCAATGTCTATGCAACTGGGCCTCATAATTCAGTCTCCCATCTCTCTGAAAGGCCACAAGAAGTCATTATTGATATGTGGCACTATCATATAAGGGATAGGGCTGCTATTATCATTATAAATACTTTTGGGGGGGGGGTTAGGGTGGACATGGAAAAAACATCTTCCAGGTAGGATCTCTTCCTAATTTTAAAACCATTTAGGACCCACCAGAACAGATTACAATTACAATGTTACAATTCAACAATTTTTGCTGCTGGATTACAGCAGTGCACTCTTTTTTTTTTTGAAATTTTATTTGAGTTTTCACAAAGAGAAAAAAAATACATATAAAACATCTTTTTTGAAAGCAGCATAATCCCGGGTTACATTTCTTCGTACAGACACAAATTCAGGTTCATGCTCATTTTTATATTCTATTCCATATCTTATTACTATTTTACATTGTCTGCATAGCTTCTCCCCTCTTTTAATTTTCTCAATTTTATTTTAATTATCTCATCTCAATTCAAACCATTGTATTTATATTTTTGTCTGTCCTGTTTCAATTATCTATTATCTTTTCCCATTAAACAAAATTTCTCCTGTAGTTACTGATTGGAGTATGACAACTTTATATCTTTTCCCTAAAGTTGTAACATTCAATATAATACATAACTTCCATTCGGATTCTGCTTGGTACATTCTTAAAATACACACTGTATTCTTAAAAAAAGAAAAAAATTATAAATGTATATAATTAAAACAACATTCCATTCCAAGTCAATTCTATCATTAATATTAATATTCATAAAAGTCTTAATATCTTTAACATTATTTTTCAATTAAATAGCATACTTCTATGGGAACAATTATAAGCTTTCCATAGTTAATTCCCCCCTTCTTCACTTATATTTTATAAACCATTAACTAATTAAAATGTTCCCGTTCCTTCCTAATTCAATTTTCTCATTTATTTTATTTCATTTATTTTATTCACAAACATTTCACTAAATTACACTATTTTATCCCTCATTTTAATCATACGTTGTTTCCAATTTTCTAAAGTTATTTCTATTACTAATATAACAATACAATCTTATGTACCTTTACAGAATCCCTTTTTCAGTTAGATTTTCACCCATTATCTTTAAATAGGTCCTGTTTCTCTATATCTTGCTCCGGTCCTTTGTAACTTCTTTTCCTTTCCTTCTTCCCTCTCTTCTTCTCCCTCCCCTTCCCCCCCCCCCCTTGTCTCTCTATCTTTATTTCTCTCTTCTGTATTCCCCTTTTCTGTTGCTTTCCAGTATTATACTTGTTTTTCGAATTATTTTTCTTTTCTTTGGTTGTTTTTTCAAGTCTTAAATTCTCCATTCTCTTTCCCCCCTTTCCTTTTTCTTCCCCACATAAAATTACTTGTTCATTAAAGATGGCTTCTTCTTTGTCCCAGTCTTCTTGTTTTGCAGTCGTTTCTTGTTGTTTCTCATAGTTCCAAATCTCCATTTATAAGAATTGAAAAATGAAGCCAAAAGAACCCTTCCCTTCTTGTGCATCTTCTTTGTACTTTTTAAGTTCCATTTTCAATTCATCCAGAAGTGGTGCCATTGTATAAATTTTTAAACAACCACCCAATTGATTTTAGTCATTCAAATAACCAAAAATCCAAAGATCACCAAATAATCCAAATACACGCAAGCTGTTTCTTTTTTGCTTTTTTTTTCACTTTCTCTTCCTGGGGTTACTATTTAGTTGCAAAGTTTCAGTTAAAATGTATCTTTTAGAAGTCTTGTTGAAATTTTACTTTAGATTATTTTTAATTCCAGGCAGTCTCCTCCCTCTTCCAGATCCTGCCCTTATTCTTTTTCTCTCCCTTCCTGCTTATGAAAAAGAAAAATTTTAATGTCCAGAAATCTATATTATCACTTTGGCATTTTGTTTTATTTTCAGCTTAATTGCCTATTGATGTCAAAGCGGATTTTTCCGATTTCTTATTTAAGTCTCTTAGTTATCAGTATTGGGAAGGAGAGAGAAGAAGAAAAAAAGCCAAACCTTTCCCTTTTCACTTTCCTTCGCTGCTTCCGACTCTTCTTTGGGAGCAATGTTATTTTTTTTAAGTTTAAATTCCAGGGTACCTTGGTTGTTGCTTTTACAATTTAACCCAGTCAGCCAAAACTTTCACTTCTTATCTTCCTCCTGCACATTCTTTTCCGGTCAAGTTCTTTGTGGTGGCCATTTCTGACCACTGCTGGAACCGCCTTCGGGAAAGGGAGTAATGGCCTGCTGAGGAGGAGAGATGCAGCTCTCCTCGACCCTGCTGGCAGTCTCCCCCTCTTCACCACCTCTACGGGGTGGCTTAGCCCTGAAACCAATCGGCTCAGGGAGCACCAGCGGCGATCCCAGACAGAAACCACGCACGATCGCGGATTTTTGTCTGTCGCTGAAGCCCTTCAAACCCGGAAGTCCCCTGCAGTGCACTCTTGTGGTCTTCTGGAGTCCCCTAGAGCTTACCCACTCCTTTAAAACCATTTCATAGTCAATTCTCCTCACTTGATGCAGGGATTGCCAAGGGGCTAGTTAGTGTACATGAAAAGGATCATTGCCCATTTGGAAATCAACTGCCAAAAATAAATATTTCATACCTTAGCAAGTGATTTGACAATAGGATTCTCCATAATTCCTTTCAAGAAAATAAGGTCTATTTCTTCAGCTCCTGATGATGAGGGTAAATCAGTAAGATTATCCAAAACTTGCTGCATTGCTACTGAAAAGAACACATACAGGTAAAACACTTCAGACTTATTATAGTAAATATATAAATAATTAAAATAATTGTCAATAAAAGTGACCAGCCATTTAAAGGCGAAGCACCAATTATTTTCTCCTTTAATGTTGGTTTTGAGAAACATTGTAACAACCAAAAGAAACCTTTTGACTACCTTAAAGCTAACAAATTTACAAGTACTGTTTTCTTAATGATTGTCCTGTTTAGCAACCAAACTTATGATGCCCCTGAAAAAATTACTTTATAACCAGTCTTCTCATGACCATGGCAGTGATGTTTATATGTAATGACCGCATCGTTTAGCAATGAAATTTCTGGTCCCAATTGTAGTTCTTGAGCAAGGACTACCTTTATATGGGTTGAATACTTGAGCAGTCATAAAAGTGGGAATGGGCGGGGGCTTTTCATCCATTTCTTCACCTACTTTTGAGATAGAAAAACATCAAACTGTGGTAGCTTCCTTACAGGATGTGAAAGATTGTAGAAATCAGAAGTTAATCCTGGCAGTTTCCATTCATTGCTCATTAGACAGAGTTAAATACTCATTAGATAGTTAGGAACGGTTTAAGTATGTAGAAGAACATAATACTTTAAAACTGACAAACAATGCATAGCAATCTATCTGTCCATTTATAAACCACAATTTATTGAAAAATAAAGATATTGAAATATATATTATAAAAATAAATAGCCTACATTAGGGTATAAATCTACATGCTAAGATAAGATTCCACAGTTCCATTACTCAAGTCACAGTTTCTACTTTCAACACTATTGGGTCAAATGTGTATTACTGGAATATAACAGGGGTGGTGGGTGGGAGAACGCTAGTAACTACAGGTAGTCTTTGACTTAAGACCAGTCGTGTAGTGACTGTTTGGAGATAATAATTGCCTCAGAAAAGGTGCTTTACAACCCATAAATCGCAAAATGTTGCATCCTCCTCCCATGGTCCCATGACTGCATTATGGAAACTGACTGACATTTATGACCAATTTGCAGATTCTGTAGTCATATAACTTTGATTTGTAATATTTTTGGCCATTTCTAGTATTTTTTGCTGGTTTCTGGGAAAAAACCCCCACCCTTTCAGGAGAATAGGTTCCAACTTACAACCAACTTACAATAGGTGTAAGGTTCCAACTTACAACCTTGTGATTCATTTAATGATCATATGATTCAGATTAATGATATCTTGATTATCTTAATAATTGCCATAAAAAGTCATAAAATTGGGTCTGATCCTTGACTTACGACCATCACAATAATGACTGAAATTCCAGTCCCCATTGCAATCAGGAGTGGAGGACAACCTATAACACTAATTTTATCTTTCAAGTGTATTTAATTTTGTATGTAATCCGTTTCCTTGAAAATAAGACCTATCTCAAAAATAAGACATAGCATGGTTTTATGTGTGTGCTTTATATAAGCCCTACTTCCCCCAAATAAGCCCTACTTAAGAGTCTGCACAACCGGATAGTCTCCCATTCCATCTGGTTGCTTGCAGTGCCAGTCTCGAGGCGAGGCGGAGCTGTCTCACACACCCCACACCGGCTTACCTCAGGGCCCCTGTAGCCAGGTCACCCCCCTGACATTTGCCCGGCCCACTTCTGCTTGCTCATGCCTCCCATCTCACCTCAGGGTTGCAGCATCGGCAAAATGCTTGGCCTCCTGCTCTGTTGTGGCTGCAAACAAGCAGAAGAAGTGGGCCGGTGGCCACATGGGATCCTGTTAGATGGGGCCGCTGCTGCTAGGTGAGGCAGGTGTTGAAGCATGGCTAGCCTGGCTGCAGGGGCCTGAGTTAAGCGAGTGTGGAGTATATGGCACAGCTCCACCCCTATATCTTACAGTGGCACTGGGGTGCCACATGGTCTCCTGCCTCACCACAAGGAAGGAGAAGTGGGCTTTACATGGAAAAAAATAAGACACCCTCTGAAAATAAGCCCTAAAAAAATAAGCCCTGAAAATGCTTATTTTGGGATCCAAAAGAAAATAAGGCCGGTGTTATTTTGGGGGAACACGGGTATGTGTAAATGCAATAAAGCATCTCACATATAAAAAACGCTTGTATAAAAACAGGTCAAGCCAGGAGCACTGGGCCAGAATGGTAGTTACTGATCCTCAATAATGATTTAATGTGCATTAATGTACGTTGATGCTAGCATTAATTTTTAACAATGATTAAAAATAATTATGATATCACTGGAGACAAAACACAGTAATTGAGTATAGCATACATCCCTAGGCTTGCTTTCTGTAATGAACGGGGCAATCAGAGGAAAAATTAATTACCGTTTTTAAAAGACAAAGTACATCAAAGAGGAAATAACAAGATTGTTAAAAATAAAAAGATCCTACAATATTGCCCGTAAGGACTACTTCAAAAACAGAGCTTCAAGAACTCATGAACCATTACATATTATCTTCACACTAGCTTTCATTAAATAACATTAACACCTACATTTTTAGTATGTCCTTGCTTAAAAGGGGAAAAATATTTTCTAGAAAAATATTACTAAGTAGAAAATTTTAAACATGTGGTACCATTCTTAAAATAAACATATATCATACAATGAAAGCTTTTTTTAAAAAAATTGCTATAACCACACTTTACAATCAATGCATCCCCAACTCCTTCTAGCAAACAAGCTCTCTTTGAAAAGCTTGTGTGGGAGGCTACTGACAGTTACATTATGCTTTCAGGAATTCTGACAGCATTTCTTTTCTTTAGTTGATAAGCCAAGATTGTTGTCAACCATACTAAAATTTCAGGAACATAATGCACTTTTATTAATAAAAAAAATGAAGAGCTAGCAGCTGTGTAGGTAGTAACAAGAAATTCAAGTTCATTATCTAGATTAAAGCCAATAAATTGCACTAAGAACTGTTTTAATAATTGGGGGCAAACTCACTTCAAAAAGATGCATGCAAAATATTTCTCACATTCATTTGTACAATATCTAAATTTATTCACAACTCTGAGGTAACAGAATAATATACAAAGAAGCTTCCTAAAGCTTACTATCCTGGATGTCAGATGCTGCAAACTAGGGAAAATTTTTGTAATACTCAGAGTAGCGTTATTTGTAACAAGGAAAGTATTATCTGCATGTATTAATGTAAAAAAGCAAAGAAAAGCTGCAACAAGCTATAACATATAATTACATAGATGATCACACACAGTGGAAAATATACCCCCAAACTAGTATTTTTTCATAATCTGCTTCTATCCAGATGTATCTGAATACAGTAGGATCTATATTATGTGGATGGCCACACTGTCAGCAAATTTCAAGAACTGCAATTAAACCCTTCTGGAAAGCACAAGGTTGAGAAAAGAAATCAATGATTTCTGGAAAAGTTATATTTGACTTTGGGAACTTTTACAATGTGTGGAATTCAAATCTCAGAATTTCTGTCACCTTATGCTGTTTGGGGAATTCTGGGAATTGAAGTCCACACATCTTTAAGTTCCCAAAGTTGATAAACACTGTTACAGGGTAATAACACTATATTGGCTGTAAACTAGAATTCACTGTTCCAAAGTTCACTTAAAGCAATAAACTTTTATTTCCATAACTCAGCTGAATAAGCTAGCAGACTTATTTTTAGGATAAACAGATAATCAAGCCACAATATTTAAGCTATTGGTCTTCTATAGCCTTTGCTTAAACACATCCAGTGATGAGAAATCCACCCTGTATATTTAACCAAAGAAAATTTCTCGGAATATCAGTAGCTGCCTTCTTGTTGTTTAAAACCAGCTTTCTGTTACCTGCACCAAGAGAAGAAAGAAAATTATTCTTGACCTTTTTCTACGTAACCATTCTTTCAAGCTAAAGAATGCCATGATATTTACAGGTAGTCCTCGACTTACGACCATAATTGTGTTTGCTAAATTTGTGTTGCTAAGCAAGGCAATTGTTAAATGAGTTTTGCTCCATTTTACAACCTTTCTTGCCACAACTGTTACCGTATTTCCCCATGTATAAGCACCCCCTTTGTATAAGCCACCCCCCCAATTTTTGGACTGTGAAGTTTTGAAAAAAATATTTTATTAGAGAAACAAGTTATGAAGGAAGAAAATTTACAAAGAAACAAAATTCGACGTCTAGATCTACAACTTCGGTCATGACGCCGAAAGCGGTGCGGGCGACGCTAGCAATCTACGCATCGGAACGAGAGTAGGAACGAAGCATTCAGGCCGATGCCTAGCGTATGCATTTCTATCGCGTACTCGCACTCGTAATCGTATCATCACGTACAATTTTTACAAAAAAGTATAGCATACTGCTGGAAAACCAGTTTATTCCTACTTTATTATTTTATGCATTTTTCACGTATAAAAAGTGTACCTGCTTTGTATATGCCACCCCCCTACTTTTTGGGCTTGAAAATTTTGGAAAAAAGGGGTGGCTTATACATGGGGAAATACGGTAAGTGAAATCGCTGCAGTTAAGTTAGAAACAAGGTTGTTAAGTGAATCTGGCTTCCCCATTGACTTTGTCAGAAAGTTGCAATGGATGATCACATGATCCTGGGACAGTGCAACCATTATAAATATGAACTAGTTACTAAACCTCTGAATTTTGGTCCCTGGACCATGGGGATGCTGCAACAACTGTATGTGTGACAAACAGTCATAAATCATTTTTTTCAACACCGCTGTAACTTCAAATGGTCACTAAATGGATGGTCAGAACTCAAGCACTATCTGTATTTATTTATGAATTTAAAAATAATTTATGAAAGTTCTGCAAGAAAACAATCAAACACAGAGCATCAAGGAACCATTTATTTATTTAAATCCTGCCTGTATTATTTTGTTCAAGGCAATGAAAATATCCAATACAGCTCAACCCTGAGTTGAGCTGACAAAGAGAGACTGGCCCAAGGTCATCCAGCTGATTTTCATGGATAAGATAGGACTGGAACTCACAATGTCTGATTTCTAGTCTGGTGGTGCCTTAACCAATACACCAAACTTGACTATTCCCACTCTGTCTCTCTTCTCAAGGCTAAACATTGCTGGTGGTTTCAATTTTTCTTTATATTTGATCATCCTTTTTGCCCTTTTCTGCATCTGTATAGCTTTATCTAAACCCTTTCCCAAAACTAAACCGATAATTCTGAAGTTATATTTCATTTGTTCATATTTAGTTTGTGATCAACTACAATTCCACGATCCTTTTCATATGTCCTACTATAGTCAAATACCATGCATCCCATCTCTCTGCATTTAAGTTTCTTATGTAAATGTTTCATTTGTCCATACTAAATTTAATTGTTACTTTTAGTCCATTTTCAGAAAGTATCAAAATTGTTTGGGATTTTATTTTTGTTTTTTTGAATTATTACACAATTTTGTATTCTTTATAAATCTTCACGTCGCCATGAATAAAAATGTTGAAGAACAAGGATTCAGAAAAAAAGTTTTGTTTCTGCTTGGAGACCATTTTTGGATCTTTTGCTTGAGAAAAATAAAACATGAACATTTGATTTTAGGACTCGATGATTATATTTGTTATGATTAATATTGGGTATGTTTATTCTTATTAGAGTTATATTGTTTAAACCTATACTTTGAGTTTATGTTTACATTTAGA